CTACGTTAATCCTACCGTAAAACAATAAGACAAGGTACGACCTCTCTCATGCTCCTAGGATGTGGGGGTGAACACCCTAGAATGTTACAGACCTCCTATGAGACATTCTTTCAATATGCCACCAACTATATACTTCTACACACAAATAATTACATGCAGCATTCTACCATATGCAAACTTATATCATTAAAAGATTATACTGACTACTAAGTACAATTTTCCATTGACAAAGAAGAAGAAGAAATAATTACTATAGGAATACTTCTGTGACACTTGAAGATGGACGGCTTAGAAAGTCAAAGAACAAGAATTCACACAGCAATGAAAATTTTCCCAGATATATCTTAGATTGCACAGGAATAAATGGTTGAAAATGAGTTCTTTGTATTTCGTCCTTGAATTATGCACAGTTATGACAGAGTCGTGATAAGAGACAACTCCCTTGGCTCTGTGGGAGAGAATCCTTACGACCCTTTAATAGCCGAACAGTCTATATATAGGTAAAGACAAACTTTTGTAGATTTGCCATCCTGACACTTTCCATTCTTCCATTAAAAAAAGAAACAACTTTATGTAAAAAGTTGGGGGTGACTTACTGTTGCTTTGGACTTCTGGTGATACAGTCGATTAGGGAAAGCCACGTTGTGCTCAATTTCAGCAACCTTAGTGGTGTTAGTAATCTGCATCACACACAAAACACGCACACACATCATATCCATGGAACTAATCAAACTATTTAAATCAATACCATGTTAAACATTATGCAAAGAAGTGCACTCACCATCATATCAAGTAGACCTAAAGCTTGTTTGTTGTGCAGACTGAATTGACTCATTTTGTCGCCTGGATCTTTTACAATCCATTTGCAACTTAACGAGGAGCCCGTACTGTACATCCCGAGAAACAGGCTAGCGAAGAAAATCCTGCTGATCATTTTTGAAAAATGTAGAAATTTCCTTAGTGTGAAGCAAATTCTCAGGTCTCCTGGTGTTCTGATGGAGCAAACCTCCAGCGCTTCATTTATAGCAGAGCCCAAGGACACACCTATTTCACTTTCTAATCAGCTGGAAAATCCTCACAGGCACACGTCTCAAAAGTAAAAACATGGCAGATTTATGTCATCGTCATAGTCGTTTAATTAGTTCAGTTGATTTAAATGTAATTTAATTACCGTCAAGAAAAAGTTTATTTATCCGAAATCTGTTTTTACTTCTTGATTTTAATCTTGGAAAATTGAAGAGCGGAGATTTACAGCAATGTTTTTCAGGGAGTCTTTACTTTCTTGGCAGTTTGCAAGACATTAAGGTAGGTAATTTTAAAAAAAAAAGTTAAAAAAAAAAAAAAAGATCAAACAGCCAGTTAAAATCCAGTTTGGACACACACACATCAGTGTTGTGTCTGTAGTCACACACACATCAGTGCTGTGTCTGTAGACACACACACATCAGTGCTGTGTCTTGACTGTAGACACAAAGGAAAATGAAAGTACAAAACTTCCGTACGCACGTTTGCTTTCAGTTTCAAGTATGCTACGATTACAGAGGATAAGAAAGGAGTATAGAGTGATTGAAGTTTATGTTTTTTGAGTTTCTGAAACCAATAAAAAGCCAAATATACTGGCAATATATTGTTTCGGTGGTGAGGCTATGCGGTGGAGTAGTTTATAAGTTGCAGAGTGTGTTATGAAAAGTCTTTAGCAGAGCAGGAGCTGAGAACGGAGAACAGAAAGTCTGTGGTGTCAACAACAATGGAACCACTATGTCGTCTTTAAGTGTTACTCGTAAACTACAGCTTCTACTTTGGGTTTGTTTTTTTGTTTGTTTTGTTTTTATTACCGCTTCTGTTTACCTTTAGTTAAGGTTAGTAGTTAACCTACTTTCTGCATGTTGATTTTGTTCGTTTTTAATGTGTTGTCTTAAATAAAAAAAATAACCCGGAAACCATAAGACACAAAAAATATGTCGACAGTAAAAATTAAATCCCGCCAGAGGATTGGAAATCAACTTGAGTTGGAGCTCGTTTAGATGGTGAAATGCAAACACGCTCTATGTAACTCCTGCCACATTAAATCCTTATATAAATAAGCTAAAAGCATACATAACAGATAAAACAATTTTATTCTATTTACTTTTTTCTATTTAATTGAGCTTTTTACTTTCGTGTATTTTTGTTATTTTCATGTTATTAAGCTATTTGGGTTTAACCCTGTACAAATACCATGATAGAATGGTTTATCTTCTGGGTGATAAACCATTTTATCATCAAGAAGGGCAAAATAGCCATTTTTGTCTTTTGTTTTTTGTTTTAATGTAAAAGTCATAAAGCTAATAGCTATAATTTGTCACTTCTAAGTCAGATTAAATAACATAGGAAGTCACTTTTACAATTCATGAAGAATAATTTTAATGTCAGTGGCAGGGTAGGCATGCAAGTGACACAAATAATGTCAATAAATTATGTTTTTTGTTTGTTTGTTTTGTTTTTGTCATGTAGACTGAGGAATAAGTTCAGGCAAGAGTTTCCATTGGCTGTGATGCTCGCAGATGACCTTGCGATCTGCAGTGAGAGTAGGTAGCAGGTGGAAAAGGACCTAGAGGTACGAGCCATGAGGGAAGGTTTACAAGACAGGAAAGAGACCTGCTATGATTTATGGTTTGGAGGTGGTGACATCGACAAAAAGACAGGAGATTGAGCTGGAGATGTTAAAGTTTTCTGTGCAAATAATCAGACTGGAAATGAGCATGTCAGAGACAAAGCTCAGATCAAGTACATTAGAGATAAAGTTAGAGAGGTAAGGCTGAGATGGTTTGGACAAGAGATACTGCATATACTGGGCAGAGGATGTTTAAGATGGAGCTCCGTGGAAAAAGGGAAGACCACGGAGGACGTTCTTGGGTGTAGCGAAGAAGAACATGCAGAGGGTTGGTGTGTCAGAAGAGGATGCTTAAGATAGGGTTAGATAGATGATCCACTGTGTCCTTGAAGAGGATGAGAATGAGAAGAAGATCAAGAAAATCATAAAGAAGCTCACGAAGAAGAAAAAGATCGACAAGACGAGAATCCATGAGAACAAGCTCAGTTTCACAGCATTTGTGATGGAGCCTGAACGCATCACTAGTCTGAGTTCCCATGATGCACTTCGTTTTCAGTTGGATGGTGACAGTCGAGCGTCTAAAGTCGAGCTGACTTCTGCTCTATTTTTAGGTGTTTTGGAAGCGATGGAGAGTGACTGCACGGATTTTTGTGCCTCTAACGTGCAGCTCCCGTGTTTACGTTAATTTAAGGAGGACACGTGCTTGTTTTTCGACCTGTTAGCCAGGCTGTTTGTTTCGGTAAGCAAAACTTAGCTAGTAAAAGCCGCCGACAACGTCTGGGTTTAATATTATTACATAGCTGATAGACATTTCGTTATTTACACAGCTTTTTTATTTTATTTGTTTAATTTACAGTGTTTCGGTCGTGCATTTCTGTCATTAATGCACATACGCCCAGTGCTCGTCACTGCAAAGCGTCTGCAGAGAAAACAAATGCTTCTAAATGTCGCTTTGGGTGTTTTAAACGAAACTATTAACCAGCCACTGTTTGGTAAACAGTACTTTGTTTGCTGATAGCCCAGCACTTGATGTATTTAACGCAATCTTATTTGGATGTGATGATGTCAGGGTGGTTGGATTACATGCTAATTAGTTCTCAGAGTGCCTCTCAGTTTTTATTGGGGAAGTAAGAAGCTACTTCCCTGCAGACGTCTTCTTTAATCTGTGCTTCACGTGACTTGGAGGGCTACTCACAGAAAGGATGAAATGGCAAATAATGTCACAGAGCACAGCCTCGTGATAGGAAATTCTGGAAACTCGATGTGAGGAGGGAAACTCGTTTCCTTCTCGTCACATGTCTGGCTCGAAGGCGTGGCCATATTCAGGATACAAACTCGCATGACTCGTTTGGTCGCTGTTAGTCAAGCCTGCAAGTGCAAAAAGGGCAGGTCTTTTTGTGTGTGTTTCAGTGTGCCATGTTGGAGTAACTTATTCCAGGAGGTGCCATGCTCGCCACGCAGACTGAAGCTCACCACGAGACTAAGGATGTTAAAAAGGTAAGAATCAGCTCGTTTCACGTTGCGGATTTCACTTCTGTCTGGCTCCTTCCTCTGCTGGTGAGACAGCGTGAGAGTTGGCTTGTGAGATTTAAGTAGTATTGTAATGCAAAGTACCCCCTTGATGTTTAGGTTGTGGGGGACATGGGGTGCTCCAAAAGAAAAACAAAACGACAACAGCACAGCCTGTTTTCAATACGCCACTAATAGTGGATGCAGCAGAGGAAATGCATCATAATCCCGGTACTAAGCTCATCAACAGAGGATTTTCATTATGTTTAATGGTGAAGCTGGTCTTGCATAGGTGTAGTCCCAGGGCTACAGGAGGTCTTCTGGTACAGACAGGAAGGGAAAAAAGGCCCAAATGGACCGCTCTGCTGCTGTTGTGCACACTTCAGGGGACCTGCATTGAAAGACTGAATGAAGGTTAACCTAAGAAACTTGTAACAAGTTCTATCCTTTTAGATCAGTGGTGGACATGTTTTGTCTCAGAGGGTCTTACTTACTTTGATAAATTAACCCAAGAGTCAAATATTGAACAATTAATGTGAAATAGTTTCACATATTTCAGAAGTATTTCAAGATTTTTTTCATAGACATAACTGACGCATCAGTCCTGGGTGATCGTGTCAGGAATCAGGAACTTGCTGTTAGTACTTTTTGTGCTTGTGTGTCTATGGTGAACTGTAATATAAAACCACTGAAGTACAAAGCTGAATTACTTAAGAAAGAATAGATCTGGCTAATATTTGCTGTTTGCTTTTAATATTTTAACTCACACATTGGCTTTCTTATACTTGATACATGCGACATTAGTTTATTTTCAGTGTGACTATTTTTGAGAATTGATTATAACTCTGAGATTTTAATGAATCACCCCGTGTTTCTTGAATCTAAATAATGACAACAAGTGAGACGGTCACCTCTCACCATCAACGCTGTTATGTTAAACATGTTATTGCTTCAAACGTGTTTGGTTTTTTTTTTTAACCACTAACAACAATTAAACCCCTCAACATCATTCATATTCAATCTGTTATGATGGCTTGCAGAGATTTGTTGTGCACTGTATATGATTGTATAACTTAAACTGTGTTCTTAACTGCCAAGGGCTGCCACCAGTCTGTGGGCTACTCTTTGAGAGTCTAACTCTAGCCTGAATGGTAGACTTCAGAACCAGAATACCTTTATAATCCCTAAGTAAATTATGTGTGTTAAAGTTGCTCCAAGACAGTAACAGACCAAACTAAATAAATAATGCAATATGCTACAAAGGTTACAAATTTAAGAAACAGTGCTAACATATACAAATTGCTCAATTATAAATATCAAGAATATTACAGAGGTAAATATATATGATTGACATTTAACTCTAACCTGTGAACTTTGTCATTTGTTATTTTACTGTAGAGAGTGTGTTAAAGGGTGTAACTATTGCAGTGTTTACAGTATATTAGATGGCGGAGTTGTACAGGGAGATGGCCACAGACAGGAATGATTTCCTGTGTGGTGCAGTGTGATTTTTGGTAATCTCGGTCTCTCATTGAACGTGCTCCTGTGACTAGCCTGCATGTAATGGAGTGGTATTATTCAGCATTGTCCTTATCTTGGACACCATCCACCTCTCAGACACGACTAGGGATGGGTACCGGTATCATGGCACCGGTTCTGACATAAACGACCAGACCGAAAAGCAGCGCACATTTCGGTGCTTGTTTTTCCTGAGATGTGATACACTTTGAATTCAATCATTTTACGTTTCCGAGGATAGTAGGCGTGTCCAGGTACGTACGTTCTTTTAGAGCAGAACTACAGATTAAAAATGCCCAAGGCGAAGCGGTCGAAAGTCTGGCTGTACTTCACAGCAAAATATGCAAACTCAGCAGCCTGCAACAAGTGCTTTAAGCTGCTACTGTGATACTGTCAAAGGAAGTAACACCTCAAATTTTTTTAAAAGCCGAAAAATGCGCCGTATTTGATAGCTTGCTGCGAGACCTCACACCAAGCGCATCTACTGCGGTTGTTTAAGCACTGCTTCCAGCCAAGAGTGATACCATATAAATGGTAAATGGCCTGTATTTGTATAGCGCTTTTCTAGTCCCTAAGGACCCCAAAGCGCTTTACATATCCTGTCATCCACCCATTCACACACACATTCACACACTGGTGATGGCAAGCTACATTGTAGCCACAGCCACCCTGGGGCGCACTGACAGAGGCGATATATGCCCCATAGCTGCAGAAAAGGTAACATTGTTATCTTTTTACAAAAAAACAGCTAAACATGAGAGGTTTTTGGACCAATTGTGTGTTCTCCATTCTTTAAGCACCAGTTTGAGCACCGGCACCATTTCAAAAGTACCGGTTTGGCACTGGTATCGGATAAAACCTAAACGATACCCATCCCTAGACACGACCCTTCCTGCAACAGGAACTTGCGGATCAGTTTGAGTCTGTTGGCATCTGCAACCCTCAACCTGCTGCCCCAGCATGCAACAGCATAGAGGATAGCACTGACCACAACAGACTAACAGAAAATCCTGAGCATTGTCCGACAGATGTTGAAAGACCTCAGCCGCCTCAGAAAATAGAGACAACTCTGGCCCTTACTGTAGAGTGCAGTGGTGTTCTTAACCCAGTTCAGTTTATTGTCTTTGTGTACTCCAAGGTATTTATATTCCTCCACAATGTCCAGAGGGTTCAATTAAAGAAGATGGAGAAGTGTTCCAACTAGGCTTTCCTAGGATCATAAAAATGAAGACGTAAATTATCCTTTAACAGTAGGAAGCCTGAGTCATAGGTGGAGCTACCCACTAAAGAGGGTTTTGACCTTTCACCAAAGAAAAGTAACCAGAACTATGATTACAAATATTTGTAACCAGTATTTTATTTTTTTTAAAGTGAGGCTTATTTTACCCAAGTTTAAAATACCTTTTTTTTTTTTTTTTTTTTTTTTAAATTTGTTTATAAAATAGCTAAAAATAACAGGGAGAAACTTCTGTTAGCTTAGATGCCAAATCTTATTTTCCGTAACTATGGACCAGTCGTGCGTAGTCATCCTCCAGACGCCAGGAAAACCCCAGGGTTATGGCTTTTTTTTTTTTTCTCAAATGTGTTTTTCAGATGTTTCAATGAAAGGAAAAAAATGAGTTAAAAAAACATAAATAATTTTTATGTTTTGTTAACAAGGCTTTGAGACCTCAGATCATTAGGTAAGGTGAAACAAAGTCATTGCTTTGAGTATAGTTGGACAAACTGTGCTTGTCTGGCCCATCGTGGACCGTGGAAAAACCCTGTAATTCTAGTTTTGCAGAAAATAACCCCGCTGCATTAATGTACCGTATATGTCCAGGTGCTTGGAACTGGACCTGTAGATGTTTTTCTTTTAACAAGTCAAGCACTGCAAAGGAAGAGT